CAGATTGACTTCGGATGACCATATCATCTACGTAGACGTCCATGCATTTGTCGATTTGATGGTAGAAGACTTTGTCCATAAGGCGCTGGTAGGTTGCTCCTGCATTCTTCAGACCGAACGACATTACTTCATGACAGTAATTTGCACGTTCGGTAATGAAGGTTGTTTTATTCTGATCAGGTTCGTACATGGGGATTTGGTTATACCCCGAATACGCATCAAGGAAGCTTAGTATAGTATGTCCTGAGGCCCCATCTACCAACCGATCAATGCTTGGAAGGGGATATGAATCTTTAGGGCAAGCTTTGTTAAGGTCGGTGAAGTCCACGCACATTCTCTATTGGTTGTTCGGCTTTTTTACCATGACCACGTTCGACAACCACGTCGTGTAAGTTACTTCTCTGATAAATCGGGCGTTCATCAATTTGTTGACTTTTGTTTGTATGGCCTCTCGTTTTTCTTCCCCGAATCGTCGTTTCTTTTGAGCAACCGGACGTGCTTCTTTCAAGATTGACAGCTTATGTGTCATTACTCCCGAATGGATCCCCGACATATCTGCGGCCACCCACGCAAATAGGTCGGCATTGGTTTTTAGTATCTTTGTCAGATCATGTTCATCGTGCGGCTCCAAGCTTCCACCAATGGTCGTGGTTTTCGATGTGTCTGCTCCCAATTGGAATATTTTGACGCCACCTTGTGGATGGAGACGCTCGTCTATATTGGTTCTGGGATCCAAGTCAATCGCAACTGTTTCAACTCCTCTGGTTCTTCTTGGTGGCATGAAAGGTGTGACCTTTAAACCGGCAACGTAACATTGTCGAGCCGTTTGCTGATCGGCCCATAGTATACACACAGTGCCTCTCTCTGTTGGGAACTTCATAGCTAGATGAGGGGTGAATACGATGGCTTCGAAAGCGTTCAAGCAGGGTCGTCCTAGTAAGGCGTTGTATGAAGTATTTGCCTCTACTAGTAAGAACCTGACTCTTAGCTCTCTTGCCTCCCGGCCTGTTTCGAGTCGAGTTCTTAGGTCGAGGTATCCCTGAGTGTCAACTCTTTCCCCTACGAAGCCTACAATCTGCTTGTTGAAAGAGGCTATCAGTTCTTCGGATAAATCCATTTTTAGGAATGTGGTCCAGTACAAGATATTGACTGAGCTGCCTTGATCGATGAGCACTTTCCTGACATCGTAACAGGCTATCTCAGCGGTGATGACCATGGGTCATCGTGATCAGGGTCAGGAGCGTGGAATTTTGCATCTATAAAAGTGATTTTGGGCATGGATCGAGGTTGTCGATCTACCATGTGCACCGCTTTTAAATTTCTTAAGTGTCTTTTCCGGGCGGAGGCTGATGCTCCTCCTCTTGCGAAGCCTCCGGATATGGTGTCGATTCGTCCTCGGACCGACCTCTCTCTTTCTGGGTGTCGGGGTTGGCTCTGGGATCGTCGTCTTCGTCGGTCGTCCCTGTGAGGCGATCGTTCGGGACTTCTCCGCGAGGTTTCCTTCCTGTTGGGGGTTGCTGCCCTGGTGGATGTTCTCTCCTTTATGTACTTTTTGAGGTACCCTGCACGGATGAGTCTTTCTATCTCATCTTTTACTATGTTACACTCTTCGGTGTCATGGCCAAGGTTTAGATGAAGACGACATGCTTTACTTCCATCAGCATTCTTTGGAGTGGCCTTCCGCCGAACGATGAGGAGTTCTGCGTGTAGCGCCTCTTCGAGTACCTTTGCTATGGGCGCGTTGAGGGAAGTATAACGATCGTATTTGGGTGTCCACCCCGACTCCTTTCGAGGAGGTTTGTCAACTTTATAGTCGTGGGACGACCGCTTCGTATCTTTCTAGGTACCACTATTAGGATTTTCTTGTTGTTGCCTTTTCTGGAGTTTCTGAGGTCCTCAATGCGTATGAATTTCGCAATCGTTGCCTGGAGTTCTTCCATAGACTTTGGGGGATCTGCATACAACTGTTCAGCGAAATACCCTGGCCTTAAACACAAAGGTAGATTGTTTATTATAAACGTGTGATTCACGTCTTTTACGCGTCTGGCTGTCTCATTGTATCTCTGCATGAAAGCTTTCAAGGTTTCATCCTTCTCCTGTTTAATGTTTACGAGCTCAGCCGGAGTCATCTCCGGCCTTCTGTTGGTAGCATACTGTTTTCGAAAAAGAGTTTCCNACCAGGCCATTTCTTTAATCTCGTGCTTCACGTTCCAGCTCCACCTAGTCACTTCTTCATATGCACACCACTGCCCCAGTAATCACCGTGCTCACCACACACCTTCTCCAGCACCTTGAATCACCATTCCCGTACGTTCCCTGCTTCCAGCTCCACGTAATGCTTGCTTTAGTGCTTCCAGCTCATGACACCTCTGCTTCCACCACGTCTCAGCGCAACACGCCCAACTTTGCTTCACTTCTTCCAGCTCCAACACATTACCGCTTCCCGTGACAACATCAAGCAGCGCATAAAAACCGTGAATGTTGTGCAGACCGTGTGCCTCACTTCTTCTAAATAAACAAAAAAATGAGCTTTTCTAAAAGAATTTGGATCCCCTCTGCAATGTGACAATGTTGAACATAAACCTTGCACTCTTCACAACGAAAATTAAATAAGCATTCTCATGAATCCAGCGCTTGCAAAAATGAAATGGAAAAATTCAAAGTGTGCTTTTTTTTCATGCTGAAAAACGTTCAAAGCAAAAACTCAGAACCAAAACCGAGAGTGAATACGGTGTCAAATCGCAAGTGGCGGCTGGGGCCCTAAACTTCTAAGACCGTGTGTCCCCTTTTTTAGGGTAGGGTCCACAAAAATAAAACCCTAGGTGCCAAGTCATTAATTTCTAATTTTGGGTCTAATCTAATTTACCAAAAATTGACCCAAAATATAAGAGTTGATTCAAAAATTCTAAACTACTGAATTACAATTTAATTAATTCAAAAATGTTTGTCTGGAGAGTCTTGAATTTATTTGGCAATCTTCCTGATGTCCCAAAATGTATTTTCGAAATTTTCCTGCACTTCAAAAATGCACTTAATCAGCTCAGAAAATCCAAATTAGCACAATTACAAATTTCCGACCAAATTAAGCAGAATTCGGAAAAACGGGGAAATAACAAGCAATTAAACACAATTCCCTGGTTTATTTAAGTGCAAGAAACTAAATATAATTCAAGAAATAATGACTCATCACTGGGTGATTACTTCGAACGATCACTTGATGGCTCTGGAAATATGGTCGAAGTCGACGTGACGCCGTGAGCAGGGCCAAGGCTACCTTTTCGATTTGGGAATACCGCTCCTTCGCCCCCTGTAACGTTCTGTTGACAAAATATATCAACTTAAGGATGGGGTCTCCTGTACCAAAGCGGCACTTACAGTATGATGGGATGCTGCGATGTACAGCTGCAAGTCGAATCCTGCTACCGGTCGTGTCATGATTGGAGGGCTGGTGAGAACGTGTTTAATAGCACCGAAGGCTTTTTCGCACTTATCGTCCCAGTGTCGGGTGGTGCCCTTCTTCATGTTCTTCAGGATAGGCCTGATGCGTTAGGCCAACTTCGGAATGAAGCGTGATAACGCTGTCATTCGGCCAACTGGACGTTGTACCTCTTTCAGGTTTTGTGGGCTTCGCATTTCCAGTATGGCCCTACATTTGTCTGGGTTGGCCTCGATTCCCCTGCATGTTAGCATAAAACCCAAAAACTTCCCAGTCGGGACGCCAAAGGTACATTTAGATGGGCTTAGTCTCATGTTATATCGTCGTATCTGGAGGAAAACTTCCGCCAAATCTTTGAGATGTTGTTCCACAGATTGACTTCGGATGACCATATCATCTACGTAGACGTCCATGCATTTGTCGATTTGATGGTAGAAGACTTTGTCCATAAGGCGCTGGTAGGTTGCTCCTGCATTCTTCAGACCGAACGACATTACTTCATGACAGTAATTTGCACGTTCGGTAATGAAGGTTGTTTTATTCTGATCAGGTTCGTACATGGGGATTTGGTTATACCCCGAATACGCATCAAGGAAGCTTAGTATAGTATGTCCTGAGGCCCCATCTACCAACCGATCAATGCTTGGAAGGGGATATGAATCTTTAGGGCAAGCTTTGTTAAGGTCGGTGAAGTCCACGCACATTCTCTATTGGTTGTTCGGCTTTTTTACCATGACCACGTTCGACAACCACGTCGTGTAAGTTACTTCTCTGATAAATCGGGCGTTCATCAATTTGTTGACTTTTGTTTGTATGGCCTCTCGTTTTTCTTCCCCGAATCGTCGTTTCTTTTGAGCAACCGGACGTGCTTCTTTCAAGATTGACAGCTTATGTGTCATTACTCCCGAATGGATCCCCGACATATCTGCGGCCACCCACGCAAATAGGTCGGCATTGGTTTTTAGTATCTTTGTCAGATCATGTTCATCGTGCGGCTCCAAGCTTCCACCAATGGTCGTGGTTTTCGATGTGTCTGCTCCCAATTGGAATATTTTGACGCCACCTTGTGGATGGAGACGCTCGTCTATATTGGTTCTGGGATCCAAGTCAATCGCAACTGTTTCAACTCCTCTGGTTCTTCTTGGTGGCATGAAAGGTGTGACCTTTAAACCGGCAACGTAACATTGTCGAGCCGTTTGCTGATCGGCCCATAGTATACACACAGTGCCTCTCTCTGTTGGGAACTTCATAGCTAGATGAGGGGTGAATACGATGGCTTCGAAAGCGTTCAAGCAGGGTCGTCCTAGTAAGGCGTTGTATGAAGTATTTGCCTCTACTAGTAAGAACCTGACTCTTAGCTCTCTTGCCTCCCGGCCTGTTTCGAGTCGAGTTCTTAGGTCGAGGTATCCCTGAGTGTCAACTCTTTCCCCTACGAAGCCTACAATCTGCTTGTTGAAAGAGGCTATCAGTTCTTCGGATAAATCCATTTTTAGGAATGTGGTCCAGTACAAGATATTGACTGAGCTGCCTTGATCGATGAGCACTTTCCTGACATCGTAACAGGCTATCTCAGCGGTGATGACCATGGGTCATCGTGATCAGGGTCAGGAGCGTGGAATTTTGCATCTATAAAAGTGATTTTGGGCATGGATCGAGGTTGTCGATCTACCATGTGCACCGCTTTTAAATTTCTTAAGTGTCTTTTCCGGGCGGAGGCTGATGCTCCTCCTCTTGCGAAGCCTCCGGATATGGTGTCGATTCGTCCTCGGACCGACCTCTCTCTTTCTGGGTGTCGGGGTTGGCTCTGGGATCGTCGTCTTCGTCGGTCGTCCCTGTGAGGCGATCGTTCGGGACTTCTCCGCGAGGTTTCCTTCCTGTTGGGGGTTGCTGCCCTGGTGGATGTTCTCTCCTTTATGTACTTTTTGAGGTACCCTGCACGGATGAGTCTTTCTATCTCATCTTTTACTATGTTACACTCTTCGGTGTCATGGCCAAGGTTTAGATGAAGACGACATGCTTTACTTCCATCAGCATTCTTTGGAGTGGCCTTCCGCCGAACGATGAGGAGTTCTGCGTGTAGCGCCTCTTCGAGTACCTTTGCTATGGGCGCGTTGAGGGAAGTATAACGATCGTATTTGGGTGTCCACCCCGACTCCTTTCGAGGAGGTTTGTCAACTTTATAGTCGTGGGACGACCGCTTCGTATCTTTCTAGGTACCACTATTAGGATTTTCTTGTTGTTGCCTTTTCTGGAGTTTCTGAGGTCCTCAATGCGTATGAATTTCGCAATCGTTGCCTGGAGTTCTTCCATAGACTTTGGGGGATCTGCATACAACTGTTCAGCGAAATACCCTGGCCTTAAACACAAAGGTAGATTGTTTATTATAAACGTGTGATTCACGTCTTTTACGCGTTTGGCTGTCTCATTGTATCTCTGCATGAAAGCTTTCAAGGTTTCATCCTTCTCCTGTTTAATGTTTACGAGCTCAGCCGGAGTCATCTCCGGCCTTCTGTTGGTAGCATACTGTTTTCGAAAAAGAGTTTCCACGGTAGCGAAGCAATCCACTGAATTTTGAGGGAGGGTGTGATACCACTCTAGTGCCTCATCTTTCAGGGATAACGAAAAAGCTCGGCAAATGACTGGATCATTGTCTGTGTAGAATTCCATGGCATCTATAAAGTTGCAGAGATGGTTGTTTGGGTCTGCTGAGCCATCGTATCTTTCTAACGTTGGAGGGGGTTTTTCTGGCATATTAGCTTGCATGATGGCTTCCGTAAATGGAAGTAGGTTGGTAAGCCCTAGAGAAGTGGGCCCCTTTCTTCCTCCTCCGACAGGTTCGGATGGTCCTCCATGATGGCTTCCTTCATTATCGTCCTGTCTTTTGGAGGCCGATATCTCTGGCGGAGGTCGTTGCGCTCTCAGAGCCGCAAGTTCCTCTGTTTGTTTACGCTAAATTTCCTGTTGTTCTCGTATAGTCTTCGCCTGGGCCTCTATCTGTGCCTAAAGCTGCTTGATCAAGTCTCGAGTGTTATTCTCTTCCATGGCTCCTGTGGTCTTCCTTGGGTATGCTAAATCTCGGGCCCCACGGTGGGCGTCAAAGTGTTTCGGTATAGTTGTTGGGACCGAGACACGAACCTGATCAATGACGTCTTCACCTTCTCACAATGCAGTTATCCTTATATCTTCCAGTTGCACAGGGCTCTTCGGGAAGAATGGAGTGGGTACCTGCGAAGGCACTCCGACGNGGCATTGGTTTTTAGTATCTTTGTCAGATCATGTTCATCGTGCGGCTCCAAGCTTCCACCAATGGTCGTGGTTTTCGATGTGTCTGCTCCCAATTGGAATATTTTGACGCCACCTTGTGGATGGAGACGCTCGTCTATATTGGTTCTGGGATCCAAGTCAATCGCAACTGTTTCAACTCCTCTGGTTCTTCTTGGTGGCATGAAAGGTGTGACCTTTAAACCGGCAACGTAACATTGTCGAGCCGTTTGCTGATCGGCCCATAGTATACACACAGTGCCTCTCTCTGTTGGGAACTTCATAGCTAGATGAGGGGTGAATACGATGGCTTCGAAAGCGTTCAAGCAGGGTCGTCCTAGTAAGGCGTTGTATGAAGTATTTGCCTCTACTAGTAAGAACCTGACTCTTAGCTCTCTTGCCTCCCGGCCTGTTTCGAGTCGAGTTCTTAGGTCGAGGTATCCCTGAGTGTCAACTCTTTCCCCTACGAAGCCTACAATCTGCTTGTTGAAAGAGGCTATCAGTTCTTCGGATAAATCCATTTTTAGGAATGTGGTCCAGTACAAGATATTGACTGAGCTGCCTTGATCGATGAGCACTTTCCTGACATCGTAACAGGCTATCTCAGCGGTGATGACCATGGGTCATCGTGATCAGGGTCAGGAGCGTGGAATTTTGCATCTATAAAAGTGATTTTGGGCATGGATCGAGGTTGTCGATCTACCATGTGCACCGCTTTTAAATTTCTTAAGTGTCTTTTCCGGGCGGAGGCTGATGCTCCTCCTCTTGCGAAGCCTCCGGATATGGTGTCGATTCGTCCTCGGACCGACCTCTCTCTTTCTGGGTGTCGGGGTTGGCTCTGGGATCGTCGTCTTCGTCGGTCGTCCCTGTGAGGCGATCGTTCGGGACTTCTCCGCGAGGTTTCCTTCCTGTTGGGGGTTGCTGCCCTGGTGGATGTTCTCTCCTTTATGTACTTTTTGAGGTACCCTGCACGGATGAGTCTTTCTATCTCATCTTTTACTATGTTACACTCTTCGGTGTCATGGCCAAGGTTTAGATGAAGACGACATGCTTTACTTCCATCAGCATTCTTTGGAGTGGCCTTCCGCCGAACGATGAGGAGTTCTGCGTGTAGCGCCTCTTCGAGTACCTTTGCTATGGGCGCGTTGAGGGAAGTATAACGATCGTATTTGGGTGTCCACCCCGACTCCTTTCGAGGAGGTTTGTCAACTTTATAGTCGTGGGACGACCGCTTCGTATCTTTCTAGGTACCACTATTAGGATTTTCTTGTTGTTGCCTTTTCTGGAGTTTCTGAGGTCCTCAATGCGTATGAATTTCGCAATCGTTGCCTGGAGTTCTTCCATAGACTTTGGGGGATCTGCATACAACTGTTCAGCGAAATACCCTGGCCTTAAACACAAAGGTAGATTGTTTATTATAAACGTGTGATTCACGTCTTTTACGCGTCTGGCTGTCTCATTGTATCTCTGCATGAAAGCTTTCAAGGTTTCATCCTTCTCCTGTTTAATGTTTACGAGCTCAGCCGGAGTCATCTCCGGCCTTCTGTTGGTAGCATACTGTTTTCGAAAAAGAGTTTCCACGGTAGCGAAGCAATCCACTGAATTTTGAGGGAGGGTGTGATACCACTCTAGTGCCTCATCTTTCAGGGATAACGAAAAAGCTCGGCAAATGACTGGATCATTGTCTGTGTAGAATTCCATGGCATCTATAAAGTTGCAGAGATGGTTGTTTGGGTCTGCTGAGCCATCGTATCTTTCTAACGTTGGAGGGGGTTTTTCTGGCATATTAGCTTGCATGATGGCTTCCGTAAATGGAAGTAGGTTGGTAAGCCCTAGAGAAGTGGGCCCCTTTCTTCCTCCTCCGACAGGTTCGGATGGTCCTCCATGATGGCTTCCTTCATTATCGTCCTGTCTATTGGAGGCCGATATCTCTGGCGGAGGTCGTTGCGCTCTCAGAGCCGCAAGTTCCTCTGTTTGTTTACGCTAAATTTCCTGTTGTTCTCGTATAGTCTTCGCCTGGGCCTCTATCTGTGCCTAAAGCTGCCTGATCAAGTCTCGAGTGTTATTCTCTTCCATGGCTCCTGTGGTCTTCCTTGGGTATGCTAAATCTCGGGCCCCACGGTGGGCGTCAAAGTGTTTCGGTATAGTTGTTGGGACCGAGACACGAACCTGATCAATGACGTCTTCACCTTCTCACAATGCAGTTATCCTTATATCTTCCAGTTGCACAGGGCTCTTCGGGAAGAATGGAGTGGGTACCTGCGAAGGCACTCCGACGCTCAAGTCAGAAAAAGGGAATGACCGAACCTTTTGGTTCAATAATCAAATTAATATTTTCTCTCTCTTTTTTCCATTATCAAAACGTACCTGTTTCCTTTAGGTTTTTCGTATTTAACCTAGAAATAAAATGAACCTTTTACCTAAAAATTTGGTTAGTTGGATAATCCAGTCACCTGATCGTGATCCCCGTCTTTGATATTTGGTTGGTTAGTTCCGTAACTTACGCTTTCATAGTTATACATTTGTAACCGCTTCTTCCTTAGATTATCCTGGTTAATTAACCCAGTCTAAATAAAGTTGACCGAGCGTCTATTGACTCTTAGCTTGACTAGGTTAATTTGACCCATGTTGGTTGCTTGTTTTAAGTAACGACGATCTCTATTAAGACGATCGATACTAGGGGTGACACTGACGAGAGTATGGCATTGACGAGCGTATGGCATGACGATTGTCTTGCTGGTATTATCTTACGATATCACGATCGTTTTGTCTAGGAGGTTGACGATCGTTCGGAAGCGATTGTTTGACTATTCGCTAATACCTGGCCTGTTTATTATTGCTAGCTGTCCGGATAAAGGCGATCGTTCAGTCGGTCGTTTGGTTTATTGTTGACAATCGCTCGACTTTAGATACTCTACCATACAAATCCCAAGGTTATTCCCCATCTCTCTTGAGACAATAACGCCTCTAGAACATATGCAACATTATCTGCTCACGTATAAAACATTATACGATCATCCCCGATAATTTCATTCCCCAAAACACAAAAACGTACATGTATGGGATAAGCTACGGATAAAAAAATCATAAAAACAAGATACATACATATTAATTATATGAACCACAATTAAACACCCAAGAAAATACATATCTTCTAATTATACCAACCATTATCAAACACATAAAAAGATACATACCTTATGATTATCTCAACCATAATCAAACATCTCATACAAAGTAATAATAACAATATGATTCCTAATCCTCTAACATAGACATTTAAATCATACAAAATTACTCGAGCCTTTTAATATTAAAATAATAGTCTCATTGTTTTTAATCCATTACCATTTCTAAAATATGATTCTCTAGGTCTTTTGAAATACAAACAAAGTACCAAATTACATATCTCATGCTTTGTCACACTTTAACTTATACAATCCAACTATAATTGCATTTGTCAATGGTAAACAATACAGTCTAGTCATAGCAAACAATTATATTAGACACATGAAATGAATTCTTAACTCACAAGGATAAATTTTGCAATCTTTTATAAATTTTATAAATATGTTAAAAACATTAATCTATTGTTTCAATAAAAAAAACTTATTATGAAAGTGAACTCAAAATTGAAATTTTCAAGCTTTTTTTTACTTGAAAATTATAATTAAAAACAGTAAACTTACTTTTGACAAATTAAATCCAAATTTAGTTAGCTATCACATATGAGTGAAAAAGTATAATTTCATATTTATCCTGCTCATATGATCATAATAGTTAAGGTTTCATATGATCATAATAGTTAAGGTTTCATATGATCATAATAGTTAAGGGTAGGGTAAATATCTTGAGTACTAAACTCCAATCTTTGTTTCATTTATTATTTTTGTTCATTTTTAGACTCGACCTTCATGAGATTCATGGGACTAACTAACTTAACAGGAAGCTCACATTTTTCTAAAATAAATGAAAAAATCATGTTTTGAAATACAACTTATGCATATTTAACATATAAAATGGTATTTAAGAATTCAACATACTCATTTGCATAAATTCTTTTAAATCTATATATCTTTAAGAATATAATTTTTCCCATCAGATAAATTTACTTGTTTTTAGAATTTCTTATCTTCACTGTCTTTATTTTCACTGTCTTTAAACACTTAAAAAATCATTTAAATAAATAGATTAATATATATATATATATATATATATATATATATAAATTTTTACTTATAAAGTCCATGTTATTTGAATCAAATATTAAAATTTAATTTGGCCCATGCAATCTCAAACCTGCGACCTTCGCGTTATTAGCACAACGCTCTAACCAACTGAGCTAATAAGCCAATTAATAATTGAAAGCAATATATAAGGTAAGATATCCATATATGTTCAAATTG